ATGTTTTATTGCTTAAGTAAAACACTATAGGGAGTATGATAAAGCTAAAATAATCTTCCCCAACAAGATGAATCAATTCAGCCTGCAAGTTAATTTTAACTTTTTTTTTTATTATGAAAAACTCAGTACATATAATAATAATAAGTGTAACGTTTAATATAAAAGAATGACTGATATGGTTGATAAAACGAAAGCATAAGTTGTTTTTTTTATCGAAGGGAGCTTATATTTGATAAAATAGCATTCAGATAAGGTTTGAAATAACAAAAGGACCACATGTAACCATTCGCACTTGGACCAGACTCAGAGTTAATTACCTTTGACAAAACAATATAACTCGCTGATCCTAACTTGGGCATAATTATGCCAACAAGGATTACCGCAGACCTCTCATCACTCATTCCTAATGCAAAAGGCTTACAACATAAAAAAGAATAAAAACAAAACACAACTGTCTGAGCGTGGAAATAAAAATGCAAAAACACAATAAAATAGACACCAAAGCTAGTCCTCTTGAGCAGAATCACCAAGTGCACCACCGGCAGGTCTAGAAGTCCTGACCCGCTGCCTCCCCATTTTTGATTCGTCAAGTGACATGCCCTCACCAGCTGCAACCCCTTTTGATTGGTCTTCCCAAATCCTCATGCGTTTCGCCTCCCCTAGAACCTCCTCATTGTCGCCTATTCAACCCGTCTTTGACACGCTGTTCCCTGTTTCTGCAGAGGACTCACGTCGATCTTGTGCCCCTATTCCTTCACTCTCTAGATTTGTCTTCCGTTGTAGCCTGACACCCTCTGAGCTTGAGGAATTATCCACCAACCACTTATTGGTCCTTGTTGGGCTAGTCTTCCCTCCTCCACCAGCCCGGAGCTCAACCCCAAAAGTTTTATCCAGCACAATACCTTACTCATAGTTCAAGGGACAAATTTATCCGAATGCTCAATCACCCCACATAAGAAGCAGAAACTAGGTAGTTTTTCATATTTATAATCTACCCAATGTCCATTTCCCTCTTTTTTTTTAACTAGTTCCCTTCTTCAGAAGTTTTCTCACTTCCATACACACCCTTACTCTCATGTAAGATTTCTATTTTTCCTCAAACTGGTTCTTATCAAAACTAGTAAATGTGCCAATAAAGTTTCCAATTCTCCTAGCAGAACCCACGTTCCTGAGTTTAAAAGGTACATTGTGTACCTGTACCCATAATTCAGACTCACACAAAATCATCTTTTCAGGTATATCATCTGGCTAAACTGCTTTTAAGAGTAGTAAATCTCTCTCAAACAACCAAGGACCGTTGATGTGAGTTTTCTCGCACTTAAAAAGATTGTAATATAGTGGTGTAAGTACGCGTATCGTTTCCACAGGAACGGACAAAAGGGAATCAAGAATTAATTAAATTCATCGATTAAAAATAAATAAAATAAATGCGTCGTGCGAGATATCATTAGTATGAAAAATTAAAATGCAACTAAACGATTAAAATAAATGAGTTCTCTCTAATTAATGACGAAGGGAACAAGGATTGATTCCGTGATAACCAGATTTTTGGCAGATCAGGCCTAATTACATGAAATTAATTCAATTGAGCCTAGCTAATCATTACTAAGTTCTTACCGCTCTCGCGGCGTAGAGTACAATAATTTAGGGGACCAGGCTGATCTCTCATGCGACAGGATCCTAAATTATTGCCAAAACAAGCGACCTTATGGCCCCTTAATCGCTACTAATCTCTTAGCGAACGATTAAGTGTGTGTGAATGTGTCCTAGAATAAACTAGATCTCACTTAATTCATTCTACATGCAATTGTAATTCTAGCTGCAGTTTAGGTTACAAGAGATATCAATTAAATTATTCAGACACAAATTAAACGACATTCATGCAATTAAACCATCAAGAATGTAGCCATACATCATGATTAACCCCTTCATCAACCCCAAATCCCTAATTAAACTACTCACAATTCATAATTGAAGAATCAACAGAATTGGGATGAATAGAAATAATTGTCATTAATTAAAAAGATGGAACTTACAAAGAATCACAAAAGATTGATGAAATTTGTGAAAAGCCCCCCCTTGAAAACAGGGGTTTACAGACTGTTTAAGTAGAAAAATCGGGTGAAATTTGAGTTGGATTGGGATTTCCGGAGGTAGGCACGGTGCCAGGCACGATCGTGCCTCTAGACAAAAACGCACATTTTGGGTAGGCACGATCATGCCTCCCTCCAGGCACGATCGTGCCTGACTGGCAGTAGCTCCGCGATGCTTGCTCTTCACGCACGATCGTGCCTGACTTTGAGGGCACGATCGTGCCTAATTAACTCCCGAATTTGGCAATGCTTCCTTCATGCAAGTTGTAGATAATGAAGTCCTCTATCCACACCAATTTGCCGAATGTGATTTGAATAATCCAATCAAGAGATATGATCAAAACGGTGGAAGGTGGCATTCTGAAATCGCAGCAGAGATCATCTGAATTCATCGTCTGTTTTCACCTTCTTCCTCTCATATTCTCGCAAAGGTATCTTCATATCATTTTTAGCCCTTGAAGTTATTTTTCATATGAAACTTAAAGCGTGTCCATTGGTTGTTTCTACAAAGAGATATGATTGAACAATTGACAGAAGGTCATCCTGATCGTCGTTTTCAAGCTTCATTCATCTTCTTTTGATCCCGAAGCCAATTCTAGAGCTCTTTTGTCATCAAATCTTCATCGTAAACCTCCCGGTGACCTCCAAGGCTCTCAAATCAATCTTGAATGCTTCTCAAATCATCCCGATTGCTTCTCAAGCGCCGGTGCTGAACTCTAAAATCCTGATTTTGACTCCAAATGCAACAAAACTCGAACCAACGCCTGGTAAACATAACTTGAGCTAAAATTGAGACTTGAAACACCTTAAAGCTAGAAAAACCATCAAAATCCAATCCCAACACACATCAAATGCGTGTCTAAATACGGACTTATCAACCGTCCTCAAGCACACGGTTCATATCCACAATATGATAGGTACCTTTTATCTCCAATTTTTCCCTTCTTTAATGGAAACCCCTTTTCCCAAGGTCCAGATTGAAGCTAAAAGGTCTTTGAATACCTGATATTTGATTTTTCTGTCCGACAGCACGATGCTGACCACCGGAAACTCCCTGCTTTCATCGGCTGCATCAACCTCTCTGGCTTCCTCATCATCAAAATTGAGTTCATTGTCTTCCTCACCAATAGCCGTCTTCTTATAATTATTCACTATATCCTCCTTCAAAATAGCCTCTTCGGATTCGTTCCCTGCCCTCTGTTTGTTTCGGCCAAGGACAAAAGCAGCCGTCGAGCAGCCCATCATCTTTTCTCACGCTGGATCTTCGACGGAATCACCAATCCGCAGCAAGCACGATCGTTGAAGATTGCAAAACCCTTCTGAGCGCCGTTCTTCGATAGAAGTCCAAAAAAAAGACCTCTAGCGGCTAAGCCCCGAAAGCATAAGATGTTAAACAAGGATTTAGTTCTCAACAATGATTTTAGTCATCGATATTAATTCAAAATTTTAAATGGAAATTAATATCGATCATGAGAGGAAAATTGCACTTTTTTATTGAAAGGAAAATTGCACTTTTATTTAGTGAAATCCCTTTTCAAAACACATTTCTAGAAATCCCTTATTTAGTTCAATTTCTAGAAATCCCTTTTTTAAACACATTTCTAGAAACACATTTCTAGAAACATTTCAAAACACTTTTCAAAATTGCACATTTCTCAATAAACTTTATTACTTTTGCGTTCAATCAATTATTTGTGATTCTTGTTTTTTTTATTAAAGAAAATCGTCTATATTGATATCATTAGAATCAAGATCGTTACATCAATCTCAAAGTGACCAATACTCTTAGTCCTATGATCACCTTCCAACTAATACTCTTAGTCCTATGATCACCCCTGAAAGATCAATACGAATCGCTAATAACCAGATGGGCTTAATGCAGCTATTGCTGGACAAATATATTTGTCCACCTCTAACCATATCTAATCTAGCCGAAACCTGAGACAACTTATTAAATTAAACCTAGCACCATGAATAATAACAAAAAAAATAATAACAACATATTTCATAATTAACAAACTAAACCTGAGTAAAACAAAATTGAACAAGATAAACTAATGGAGCAGTTGAATCCATCCTTCAAGCGTCTTGTTTAAAACCCTAGTCTCACAGTTCCTCCATGATGGCGATTCAAGAGAGGGCAAATCATCATCACTTCATCTTCTTCCTTCATGACATTGATTTGCCCGTGAGTCGCCTCCATCTCTTGGCCACAATACTGCACGAACACAAACAGTACGAAAGCGAGTAGCCTCCATAGCCTTGTCATCTGAATGGCCGCTAACCCAGTGCACTTTGTAACCAATCGCCTGGAGCAGAGTCTCCTTGGAATCAACACGTCCAAGATTTCCTTGGATCTTATTTGTGATTCTTGCTATTATTTCTATTCTTTGCAAAAGCCTTAATCAATCAACTTAACTTTATCATTTAATTTTTTAAGGAACTTTATCATTTAATCTTGAGATATTATCCGAAATGGGACTAAATAGGTTTGAAAATTCCAAAATGGGACTGTCATGTTTTTATTCTCAAAATAGGACTAATTACTGTCATGTTTTGGCAGTACCAGACTTAAAACATGACAGTATTTTCCAAACTTGACAGTAATTACTCCTATGTTGGGAATAAAAATATGACAGTCCTATTTTGGAATTTTCAAAATGTTTTAGTCCCATTTCGGGAATTTTCCCTTTAATCTTTGAAAATCGAAATTGCACATCTGGGAAAGATTTAAGATTAAATGCATCACAAATGTAGTCAACGCGTTGGAGTCAAAGGTGCTGTACAGCAGAATGTTGAATTTCAGCTCACATAAAAAACCAAGGTTCGGTCTTCTCAGGGAGATGCCTTAAACCGGCCGGTCGAGAGCCCTATAATTAAATCCATCACACTGATACCAACAAATTTAAGGAAATCCAATAATTCGTCCTTCAATTCCATCTTGAACTGTAGGTAACAACTACGCCAGCTAGCTAGGTAGATTTTTTCAGGAAATGGTAGTAGGCGAGGTGAGTAATGGAGGTAGTGGGCAGAAAGCGATGGGGAGCTTCCTCCTCCACGTCCTCACCGGCCGGTGGTTCATGGTCTTCGCCTCCCTTCTCATCATGTCCATGGCCGGCTCAACCTACATGTTCGGTCTCTATTCAGGGGAGATCAAGTCCTCACTTGGGTATGACCAGACAACCTTGAACTTGATCAGCTTCTTCAAGGACCTGGGAGGAAACGTGGGTATCATCTCCGGCCTCATAAACGAGGTCACTCCGCCGTGGGTGGTTCTCCTCGCCGGAGCACTCATGAACTTCTTCGGCTACTTCATGATATGGCTGGCCGTGACGGGGAAAGTGGCGAAGCCGAATCTCTGGCAGATGTGTCTGTACATATGCATCGGAGCCAATTCCCAGACTTTTGCAAACACAGGGGCGTTGGTCACCTGCGTGAAGAGCTTCCCGGAAAGCAGGGGAGTTGTTTTGGGATTGCTGAAAGGATTTGTGGGTCTCAGCGGCGCAATCATTACCCAGTTGTACCACGCTTTCTACGGTAATAACGACGGAAAGTCTCTGATTCTGCTCATCGGATGGTTACCGGCGGCTGTTTCGTTCATTTTTCTCCGGACGATCCGTGATATCAAGCTGGTTCGTCAATCCAACGAGATCCAGATCTTCTACAAGCTCCTCTTCATATCCCTCGGCTTGGCCGGGTTTTTAATGGCCATAATCATCGTCCAGAACAGAGTGGCGTTTACCCGGCCGTTGTACGCCGGGAGTGGCACCGTCGTTCTCATTTTACTCTTTTCCCCTCTGTTTCTCGTTTTCAGGGAGGAGCTCAATCTCTGGCAAACCAAACAGCGCAATTTAAGAAACGAATCTTCTCCTTCTGAGGTACTGAAGATTGAAATCAGTAAACAGGCGGCGGTGGCGGCGGCGGCTGCCGCCGCATCCGGCGGTGAGACGAGTTCCTGTTTCAAGAACGTGTTCAGCCCGCCGCCGAGAGGAGAGGACTACACTATTCTGCAAGCGCTGTTCAGCATCGACATGATTGCTCTGTTCACGGCGACGACGTTCGGCGTCGGCGGGACGTTGACCGCCATCGACAACCTCGGGCAGATAGGGAAGGCGCAGGGGTACCCGGCGGAGAGCATCACGACGTTCGTGTCACTGGTGAGCATATGGAACTACCTGGGACGAGTGGTCGCCGGATTCGTGTCGGAGATCTTCCTGACCAAATACAAATTCCCCCGGCCGCTGATGCTCACGGCGGTTCTCCTCCTCTCCTGCGTCGGCCACCTCCTCATTGCCTACGCCGTCCCGAACTCTCTGTACGTCGCCTCCATCCTGATGGGTTTCTGCTTCGGGGCTCAATGGCCGTTGATCTTCGCCATCATATCGGAGCTCTTCGGCCTCAAGTACTACTCGACTCTGTACAATTTGGGAGGAGGGGCCAGCCCGGTCGGCGCGTACCTGCTCAACGTGAGAGTGGCCGGACATTTGTACGATAAAGAGGCGAGGAGGCAGCTCAGAGCTGCAAAGGGACTTGCCGCCGCCGCACTTCAGGGCGGCAGAGATTTGACTTGCATAGGAGTGGAGTGTTATAAAACGGCTTTTCTAATAATCACTGCTGCTACAGCTGTGAGCGTGGTGGTATCTTCAATACTGGTGATTAGGACAAGAAAATTCTACCAGGGTGACATATACAAGAGGTTCAAAGAGCAAGCTCAGGCCGCCACCATGGCCGTGGAGATGGAGAAAACCGTCGTCACAAACGAGCCAAATTCCGGCGAGTTGTCCAAATCACACCATCCTAAAATCTGACTCTATATTTTACTTTCGAGATGTCGAAATTTTTTTCTTTTAGAGAAAATGACTTCTACCTCTAGACGCTGATTATTTGGAAAGGTGAATAATTATCTTAGTTAACTCTAAAATCTAATACGGTTCCTCCCTACATTCTGTTCCTAGTCTAAATAATCAAAGCTCCTTCGTCTACACAAAACTTCACACTTGGTATGCCGGCTTATTGGTGACATTTAGGGCGCTGGCATAACAAAATTGTGTATGGGCATTGGGAAAATTTTATGTACACGAACCTTTATTTTCATGTGAAACTACATGCATGTCCAATCACTTCAACACACAAGTCAATGTTGACGTGCAACTCAATGTATAAATGGACAGACAATAGTTGTTTGTGATTAAATGTGTGATTGTTAGAAGACGTGCAAATGGATGCTGCATTATCTACGTGACTAATAATTTCATGTAATTTGATAATAAAACATCGAAAGATAATCAGAAGATGGAAATTTGTGCAAGTAACAAAAAAGTTGGAAATGAAAAAATAGAGAAGTGTAGGATGGAGAAGAGAAGATGAGGATTCAGAATCAGTTTGATACTTCTTACAATATCACGTATAGAACATATGTATTGAGCAACGAAATTATGGAAGATGAAAGGTGTTGAGATAGTTCATTTCATAAAGAAGAAATATATTTGTAATGTTCATTCTGTCTTTCAGATGTGAAGCTAATAAGAATATATACAAAATGATACTTGCTATCATTCTAACTTTTAATTATGTAGTACCCCCCATAAGCTAAAGCATAGGTCGAAGTGATTTGAAAAAAAACAACAATGGTCTCTAATCACGTGGCAATCGATTTCTATAGGTTTAGTTCTCTCATGGAAAACAGTATTCTGAGACATATCAATAGCAGATTTATTATCACAATCCAGTGAAGGGAAGATAATTCAGCCACCGCAATTCACATGCTGCCACAACAAGTGCAGCATGTGGGTTGTTTCTTCGGGTTCCAAGAGACAAGAGACTTTCCCAGAAAAGCACAATAACCTGAGATCTCCTTGTGTCTGAGCAAATTCCCCAATTTGCATCAGCAAATGCCTTAATATGAAAATATGAATTCTATGAGTAGAATAAACCTTTTTCTGGGCATGACTAAAATATCTAAGTACCCGATTAGCAACTCTCAAATGGTGTTTGGTAGGATAATCAGTGAATTGACTCAACTGCTTAACAACAGGGCTAATTTCGGGTCTTGTAGGTGTGAAGTATAAAATCTTCCCTTAAGCCTTTTGTATGGGCTAACATCTTCCCTTTAGGTGTGAAATTTTTCCCCTTGCACCATCAATGTACTAACAGGCTTAGATTCCATAAAACTTGTTTCTTTAATAATGTCTATTAAGTACTTCCTTCAGCGTAATCCTTCATTTCATCTAGCCAATTCAAATCCAAGAAAATACTTACGAATTCCAAGGTCCTTAATTTTAAATTGTATATCAAGACTCTTCTTGACGTACTTCTTCAATTAAACACATGCAATTACCGGTGATTATCATGTCATCAACATATATTAGCAAGGTTATATATGATTATCCTTCAATTTTTGTAAAAAAAGATGAATCTGCATGTGCTTGTTTGAAACCTTCCTTAAGGAGGACTCTAGTAAGTTTTGCATGCCATTGTAGGCTTGCTTTAAGCCATACAAAGATTTCAGTGACTTTCACACTTGTCCTCTCTTGGTCTTATAACCTCGAGGTGGTATCATATAAACTTCCTCTTCAAGATTCTCTTAATAAGGGGTTCAATTTGATATGTAGTACACTCAAAACGGATAATGAGTGAATGAGAAATTGATTCTCGAAATTCAGTTGTTGAGTTGGAGAAATTGGAAAATTTCGAATGTAGAACTAAACGTAGAACTACCGTCGGTTAATGGGTGTTTTAATTTCTCCTTTCGAACTGCCAGTGTTTCAAACTTTGATTAACGTTCTGAAATTATAATACATGATTAATTCATGGTTTAATTGTGTGGTTAATGGCATGTAACGTTCTAACTCATTACGACGTGTTTAATGGGCGGTTTTACCATAATAGGTGTGGTATCATTGCATGATTAATATAAATGCTCCTTCTTCCCTATGTATGTTTGGCAAAACCTTTTAAAAAGTCTACTGTTAGTGAGCATAGTGCATTAATGAGATATCCTCGCTGCATTGTTATCTCAAACAAAAAACTTTCCCAAACTTTCGATAAAACTTTCTCAGTTCTATCCTTTATTCGAGTTCGCTGGAAAAACATATTGAGCGCTGAATACAATTGTTCTCGATGATCGTATCCTATAAATTAACTGACGCTGCAACGCTTTTAGCACGATAAAAAGAATCGAATTGGTTTAATACCCCATAATATATTGCTCCGTAGACATTTAAAATTTTTGGGACATAAATTCTTACTTTTTGAAAATTTTATTAAATACGTCTCATTTTAAATTTTTAGAATGTCAACATTTGAAACTTTATTGTTAAATTCTTTTTATTAACAATCCATCTTTCTGTTGGTAAACTTGGAAACAAAAGTTTTGTAAGAGTAAAAGAAGAGAGGGTGTATTCTCCCGGGGATTGAACAAAAAATTCTGGTCCCTTTAGGATTTCCTTCTTTATCAATAACAACTGCGGCATTATCATCATATCGTATTATTAGCCCGTTGCCACATTTTAGTGCTTTATAGGTACGCACGATTACGGCTCTAACTATTTCAAATCTTTGTTAGGAAATTGATGTAACGTACCTTGAAAGTACAAAATCGGAAGTTTAAAATTTGGGATATTTTGACTTTGTGCTCCGCTTTTTGGGTGATATTGGACTTTACACCCCATTTTCAAAATTCTTAGACTTTGCATCCTATTTGCCTTGAAATGTCTTTGCCTTTGCACCCCATTTAGGATTTTTTTCTTCACAAAATGTTGTAGATAGGGTGCAAAGTCTAAAAGTTTTGAAAATGGGGTGCAAAGTCCAATATCACCCAAAAGGTGGGGTGCAAACTCAAAATTCCCCTTAAAATTTTCCCTGATTATGACAAAATAACGAATATAACAATAATAACATATCTAAGTTAGAACTTACACATCTTTCAGCCTAGCGGTGATAATCCTTTACCCAGTGCCGATCCTACCCAAGTTTGGGCCTGAGTCGAGATACCTAAAAAGGCCCCTATAAATTAATCCCTCTGTCCCAAAAAGGTTGACCAAATTTTCTTTTTTGAATGTCCCAAAAAGATTTGTCATTTCCATTTAAAGTAAGAAATATGTGGCTAACATTAATTCTCTTTCCTCTGCACAAATTTCAACCACACAATTTTTACTTTATTAATCCACATGAAAGTCAACTTTGATCAACCTTTTCGGGACAGGGGGAGTACAATTTTTTTGAAAGACTATAAATTACAATTTTATGTAAATATGTAGTATAATTTGTTTTGAAGTTAAAGATAAAACATCAAAAAGTAATTAATAAAATAATTTTTTTACATAATACTACGTACAATATAACATGACCAAATGTATTTAAAATAACTAATTAAGTATAACCCCTCAAATAATGAGGAGTTGAGGACTGCTCAGGTCCAGCCGGAGGGACGGAAGCCACCGTCCGAACTCCGCTGTTTGGGGCGGTTGCCGGTGTAATTTTTTGATGAATTTTTTGAGCATGTTCCTCATCAAGTCTAGTTTGTCCATACCAAATTTCAGCTCAAAATTCGATCGGGAAGACATTCAAATCATTTTTTGAAGTTGACTGCGCCAAAACATACATATAAAAACACAGTCAACTTCAAAAACTGATTTGAATGACTTACCAATCGAATTTTGAGCTGAAAATTGGTATGGACAGACTAGACTTGATGAGGAACATGCTCAAAAAAATTCATCAAAAAATTCCACCGGGAACCGCCCCAAACGGTGGAGTTCGGACGGTGGCTGGATAGGGAAGGGAGGGACCTGAGCATTTCTGCTCAAACAATATTAGTCGTAAAAATATAAATTAATCAAAGTGCTCAATAAATTACTTGTCAATTGATAACATAACTAATTCACAAAATGTCAAACAAACGTTGAAACTAATATTAGTTAAACAAATGTGCTAAATAATACATACTGACATGTTAGTAAATACGAGTGCATAACCTACTTAAAATTTAAATTTTAAATGTAAAAAAACTGAAATTGTTTAATTGTGCATCTCAATTCTTTTAAATATGCCAAATTAAACACAAGCTGGATTTTCTTAGCATGGATCAATGAAGTTGCAAAAATAAAAAAGCTATGGATCAATCAATAGCATCAGAAATCACCCTTGGAGCAATTTCAGCACTCCGATTAAGACAAAAAAAACTTTTTCATTGTGCAAAACAAATTCAAATTAGGGCCATAACCTTTCTATCTTTACAATTCCAAAAGTCAAAACTTATGTTCAGTCGTTCCGCTTCACTTTGTTGGTACTTGATCGGCTATTTTAGTTTTGAAGCACAACAACACATAGAATTTAAAGCAAGACACATCTTTTATAATTAAAATACATGTAAATAATAGGAAGATATTTTGAATTATGGGCCCTTAAATTCTCAATATTTTTGGAGCCCTGAGGCCTTTGCCTCACCGGCCTCTAACAAGGCACGACCTTGCCTTTACCTTAGGTATCCATGTGATTTCTCCTTTCCGAAAGAACGGTTAGATCTCCGATAGAGAAAGGCTAGGAAATCTATTTGCAAGGAAATAAATTGAAAATATTGAATCTAGAAAACTTGTCTATTAATTATGAAGGAAGAGGATGTATTTATACTAGTTTTAAACTAGTTTCCTAATCACAATAAAAGTCTTCCTAATAAATGAGTTCTAGTCCAATTATAACCAATACCATTTATTAATTAATAAAGATATAATATTAAATAATAATTAAATGATACATATATATGTTAAAGAGAATGGGGGGCTGCCGCCACCCTTATATATTTTAATTCCAAATTAAACTCAAGAAATTACCAACTTATTTAATTATAAATACATTTAATTAACTATAATAAATCTAATTTATTCTACTTAATTAATTCTATCGTATAGAACTCTCCTTCAACTTCGTGAATTAAATATGTTTAATCAAATTAATATTTAATCCATTTCTGATCCAGTATTACGAATTAAATATAATTTAATCCAACTAATAATATTTAACTCCTAACAATTCATTCGGAAGGTATAATCACTCGTCGTGTGACCCATAGGGCTTTATATATTTAGCACTAATCATGTTAAGGTCTTATCAGGATTCCTAGACGATTTACCAGAGAATCTTAATATATAAGAACGTTTGTGAGGACTATTCAAACTCTCTATAATATAAAGATCATAGTAATACGGACATTTCATTCATGAACATTCAACTAAGTCTAGAACTTGATATTGTGTCTATTCCAATAACTTGGTCTCTATCTCTCAATCTTTCTAGATGATCCATAGCGATCATATTCGATATCCAAAACGAACATATCTTTGCATTGGGAAATGATTTTATAATCTATTACAAGGAATGAATCCTAAGGAAGCGGTCCAGCCCAGCCGGTCGGCGTCTCACTCTCCCTTATGGGAGGTCCCGAGTTCAATTCTCAATGGAGTGAGATTTATCCCAGTTTACCTAGGCCCCCCAAACCCACTCCCTTTGATGCCCCCTGGGGTAAAAAAAGAATTATTTCTTGGCTC